GGTTTGATGTGAAGAGGGTTATTTATATTCGTCCTCATCTAATCTGGACCGTCTATCATATTTGATCTGCACCGTCTGATCACGATCTAATCTAGATCGTTCATCACGATCTAATATGGACCGTCTGATCGCATTTATATCTAATTGTCCGATCTCGTTTGAAGAGGGAACGAGTTTACAAACAAACCATTGCAAGTCTTGAGATTGAAACTTACATAAGACACCTGATGTGTTATATTTTTATATCCTTATTACTTAAATTTATAATAAATTTAAATGCATTTTTGAGTTAAAAGGTGATTTATGATATAAGTTTTTTTTACGGTAGTTGAATTGTTGAAGAAAAAATGAAACTGAAGCTGAAGAGAAAAGAAGAAAAGAGAAAAAAGTCCAACAAGTCCAGATCTAGAGCACCCAAACCTAGACATGTTCAAACCCATCCTAGCCCTCAAAAATGGAACTGCTTTGAGAATGGGAACCAGACGCCCAAACGGCATCGTTTTCGAGGAGTGGAGAAATAAATTGCAGAACAGGGAGATTTAGCTAAAAGGGAAAGAGAATGCTGGAAATGAAAAGGATGAGGTGTGTACAAGAAAACCCTCTCTTCCAACCGCATACAAAAATGTGACAACAAGAAACAAGAAAGGAGAAGAAAAAGAAAAAATCAGATCTGTACACAGAGAGAGGAAGTTGCCAGGGGATGAAGTAGAAAAGATAGCAAAAATAGTGGAGAGAGCTAGACACATAAGTTTGTAGAAACTTGCAGAAGCGAAGTCGCGTGCTATTGGAGAAGAAGCAGAAACGCGGTGAGCTGAGCACCAGAAAGCAGAAGCAGATGTTTCAGCCTAAGAGAAGGGAGAGAAGTTGATAAAAAAAAAAAAAAGGGATTAATCAAATAATTTATTTATTTAATTTTTAACTACCATATTTTTGGAATATAAATTTTCATTGATTTTTTATGAAATTGGAATACTAATGTTTGAAATTTTTTATAAATTTATTATTGATTACTATATGATTAAATTTCTTTAATTATAATCATTGTTTGGCTAAAATTTATTTGCTAAAATAATTAACTTGAATCAAAAGTAAATTTTGGATTTAATTATTAATTTTCTTTTTATTACAATTTAGCATTATTGAACTTAATTCAGTTGTAAGAATTAACTAATTTATAACTCTATTTGTGATTGATCGTTTTAGAGTAACAATAGTAAAATTTTATTAATTAAATATATATTGTTAAACGTTAATAGATACTTGAACGTTAGTAATATAGTCGAATTAATGTAGATTAATCAAATTATTACATATTTAATTGAATCAAATTAATAATTGTTATAAAAAATTAACAATTATTAGTTGATAGATACTTGGAGGAAAATTGAAAGTACGTTAGGATAGTTCAACAATTGTATATTAGATTAAATCGATTGTAAAATTAAAATTCAAATATACTCAAAATTCAAGTGAAATCAATTATTCTATTGCATTTTTATTAACAAGTTTTTCTCAATTTAATTACTTTATTTTGATTAAATTATTTTAAAATTTTTCTCTTTATAAATTTAATTCTAATTTATAGATAATAATATAATTTTTATAATTTTAATATTTAATACATAATTTCTATAAAATAATATTTTATATATTATTTTATTATTTGAACGATTTTGAATAACTACCAATTCGTCCACCAACATCTTAATAAGATAAATTAAATACTAATGAGTTGAAATGTTTACTCCATCCCTCTAACATAACTGCCTTCTCTCCTCTTTCTCCCTCGTTGCTTCTCATAAGCACAAGAAACTCAATATCTTCTCAGAGTGTTGTTACTATGTATTAAATTATCTTTTTTTTTTCTAAATTATTTAAACATTAAAAAAGTTAGATAATTTTTTTAAACAAAAGTTTACATCTTAAGTCTTTTTTTTCCTTTTGTTTTTTTTTACTTCAATCAATTAATTATACACCCCTATTTATCTTTAAAAAATTAATTTAGAAATTTCTTAACCATTCTCCATAATTTAATTATTTTAGCATACTTATATTATATTTATATATTAACATTTAATTAATGTGAAATTACAAAATAATTTTTTTTTAAATCTATAAATGTTACTAAAAAATATTTCACGTGTTGGTTTAGAAAAAGGAGAACAACTTTTTTTTTTTTTTATATACTTTTCGCATACAGATACATCTATATATATATGAAAAGAAAATATCTATACATAATATTTAATTTTTATTAAAGGAATATATAGGACACAAAAACTATATATTATAAATAAATAAATCAATAAAATAATTGGGCGCGTGTATAGAAAAAAAAATATTGGCGTGAAGAATCGAAGCAGTTCGTCCACGCTTACAACAACAAAAATCCTGAAGGGAACACGTGGATGCCATGCAAGTAAAATTGTGGGTCCCACTATCGTACTTCTACGATACGAGCCAAACGGAAATGATAATATCGCGAGAAAACGAAAACAAAATCTGTTTCATCTCAGTCAAGGTGAAGCCTTAATCAATGGTGGATTGGGATTAGATCTCCACAACTTGGGCTGTTCAACACTCGGGGTTGGTTATTACCCCTCTGTACACGAAATCTTCCTTCTTCTACATCTTAACGCCATTAAAATTCCTATTCATACATTTCTCATCATCAACCAGAGGAAACTTGCGAGAGCTGTTCCGCGGCAAGTTTAAAAATTCAATTTCAGATCTATCCAATTCGTGTATTTATTATATATATTAAGCTGAGTGTCTGAGTTGTGGAAGAACAGCTAATGAATTAAGTTTACCCGATTGATTGTCTTTCGGTTGGTTGATAGATTGATTGATTAATTGATTGGTTGAAGGGTGAGAATGATGATGAGGGAAAAGCTTGGGTTGTTGTTATTATCATGGTTTCTTCTCTGCGGGTCATGTTTGGGTAGGTTTGTGGTGGAGAAGAACAATTTGAAAGTAACATCTCCAGACTCCATCAAGGGAGTTTACGAATGCGCAATTGGGAATTTCGGCGTTCCTCAGTATGGAGGAACCTTGATTGGGACAGTTGTTTATCCCAAATCCAATCAGAAGGCCTGCAAGAGCTTTGACGATGTTGATATCTCATTCAAGTCCAGGCCTGGAGGCTTACCCATCTTTGTCCTCATTGATCGAGGAGGTTAGCTTTTAAATATTGTTTCTCTTGTATAACATTATTTTTTTAGACTAGTTATATTATATTCTTTGAATTCTCTTTCTTTTTTATTATTTTTCCTTTTAAATAATCCTGCTCTGAATGGTAAATTAGGTGGAAATAGAAAAACTTTTACGTTCGTGTTTGTGGTTGGGTTTTATTATCAATGGATTACTGAAACCCATTTCATAGGATTTTAATCCTCTCCTTTTCTCAATTTAAAAGGATCGTCCAATAAATGATCGATAACACCCCTTTCCCCATAATAACTAGAATGAGGAGCTGATTGTGAATGCAAATTAAGGAATATCAATGAACCTATGAAGAGACTACTCTCCAGTAGGTGCCTTTCCTGATCCTTGTCCTTGGCCTCCAAGATTTGTTCTTAATTCTCAAGCCAACAGGAAAAATAGAATGTCGCCTCCTGGTGTTTACCCTAATTAGGTGGTTCCGTTTGTTCGAATTCTTTTACCCTTTGGTAGGTGCACTCCTTAATTCGTTACAGAAATATACAAGAGAGGGATTCCATGAGAGTTCTAGATTTATGAGATACTAGAAATATGTTTTCAGTGAGAGACTTGTGAAATTAATCAGGAAAAGAGAGAAACCAGCAAAAAGCAAGAAGAAGATAGAAACCAGAAAAAAGAAAGGAGAGTGCATGATGGATTCAAGAAGGGAAAGAGGGAAATAGATTTTTCTCTGTTATCTGCTGCAGTAACAGTAGTTTTATAACTACAAGCGGTTAATGGACGTGGATCAATATTGTTAAAATTTTCAAGTGAGGTGGAGTTTAATTTACCATCTAACCAAGTGCTCCTTTTAAAAAGGGAAAAGGAGAGGACTTAAAATCCCATTTCATATGCTAAATTCTTTTCTTTTTTTCTCTCTTTTTGGAGATAGTATCTCATATTTTATTGACATCTAAAGTCTGTATGTATCTCATTGGGATTTCTTTTTTCTTTTTTGGTAAATAAATGATAATTGCTTTGGAGGTAAGTCGGGTCATTTCAAAGTGGTTATGTTAGAAGTCCCTTAAGATTCTGTGTCCAAGACCTGGTATTTCATAAGGAAATTTGTCATATTCCATAAATTTGACGGTGCTGCCTGGTATGCCATTAGTCACCAAGATATTCTTGGAATTTGACTTCGGATATTGGTGAATTCCATTTTATAGTCTCAGATGTTCATTAAAATTTTCTCTTGTGGCAGATTGTTACTTCACCTTGAAGGCATGGAATGCACAGCAAGCTGGAGCAGCAGCCATTCTTGTTGCTGATGATAAGAAGGAACCTTTAATTACCATGGACACCCCTGAGGAAGGGAACACTGATGCCGATTATCTGCAAAAGATCACAATCCCCTCGGCTCTTATCAGCAAATCGGTGGGAGATAGTATCAAGAATGCTATTTACAGCGGGGAGATGGTCAACATGAATCTTGATTGGAGAGAGGCTCTTCCTCATCCAGATGATCGAGTTGAGTACGAATTATGGACCAACAGCAACGACGAGTGTGGGCCAAAGTGTGACAGTCAGATTCAGTTTCTGAAGAACTTCAAAGGAGCAGCTCAGATTCTTGAGAAGGGAGGTTATACTCAATTCAGCCCACACTATATAACTTGGTACTGCCCAGAGGCATTTATCCTTAGCAAACAATGCAAGTCTCAGTGTATCAATCACGGGAGGTACTGTGCTCCAGATCCAGAGCAGGATTTCACTAGAGGGTATGATGGGAAGGATGTAGTTATCCAAAATCTACGCCAAGCTTGTGTTTTCAGAGTGGCCAATGAAACCGGCAAGCCATGGCTTTGGTGGGACTATGTAACTGACTTTGCAATCCGCTGCCCAATGAAAGAAGAGAAGTACACCAAAGAGTGTGCTGATCAAGTTATCCGAACTCTCGGTAAGTTGAACACCAAACCTTCGTGTTCAGATTGCCAACTTAATTAAATATTATAATCATATTCTTGACATTTTTTGCTCTTGATAAATACCTATACATGGTACACATTCCTTTGTTATAACCATTATAACTAATGCGAACAAATTGTTTTGACATTTCTCCTACGCTTTTAGCTTACCGCCCAAACTCTTTTGAGATTTTTAAATTCTAGAATATACAAAGATGGAAATAATATGGTTATTAACGAGCCTTCTTTTGGAATTCATTTTAATTTTTCTCACTTTATATTCTTGGAGAGAGATTGAGTGTGGAAACTAATAAGCTACTTATAAATTGAAGTTTTTACTGTGGCTTTTCATTTTTATGCTTTCTTCTACTTCTTATTTTTATAATAATTTCTTGTGAGTGAATTGTTTCTTATAAGTAATTGAGATGTGTTTAAACTATAAATGTGTTTTATATAAAATTCCTTAATTTTGTTTTCATGTAGACTTGGTATTTTATTTTGTTTGCTTCAGTTTGATTTTTGACTGTATGTTGCAAGGTAATTAACATGTTTATTTATTAGCATTAAAGCCCTTATATTTGTTCTGATTAAAATGTCTCAGGTGTTGATCTCAAGAAGATAGACAATTGTGTTGGAGACACCGAGGCTGATGTGGAGAATCCAGTCCTTAAAGCTGAACAAGATGCACAGGTAAGGCTTACTAGAAACTTGTTTTGAATAATTTTCTTGATGCACTTTAATGTTCAATTCTTTGTATGTTAGCTTCACTTATTTTGTGTTTTCTTGGACTTCCTCTTCAGATTGGCAAAGGCTCACGTGGAGATGTGACTATACTGCCAACTCTTGTTGTAAACAATAGACAGTATAGAGGTTTTGAGCAATAGTTATATATGTTAGTTTTTATATGACTGTCACTTGGCTCCCATAACCTGAGATTTTGTTTTTGGCAGGAAAGTTAGCCAGAGCAGCGGTTCTCAAGGCTATTTGTTCAGGTTTTCGGGAAACAACGGAGCCAGCAATTTGTTTAACTGAAGGTTACCACCTGGTGAACTTTTCCTTTTACATTTATCATCTAGCTTATCGGAAATATCTAGAATTTCTGGTAGATGGTACCACTCCTTTTACGTACTCTCATTAGCTTCTTTAGGGCTATCCCCTGTTTCTCACCATTATCTAAAGAATCTGTTTGTGTTGTCTTTTGGATTTCTTGATTTCCAATTTATTGACATCATATGATTTCTTTTTTGGGGTTTCTTATAAAGATTTTATTTATAACTTTTTTGTTTTCTTTTGTAATTGATGCAGATATAGAAACAAACGAATGTCTGCAAAACAATGGTGGATGCTGGCAGGATAAATCAGCCAATATTTCTGCATGCAGGGTATCTTCATGACCTCAACATTTTAAGGGGGTTTTATTTGTGAGGAATCTTGTGAAAATGCATTCTTCTAAGTTCAGTTTGTTTAAGGCTTGATGGATTTAACTTCAGACTGTTTTTTCAGGATACTTTCCGCGGAAGGGTGTGTGAATGTCCTATAGTACAAGGAGTGAAGTTTGTTGGTGATGGTTACACTCATTGTGAAGGTAGTTTTTCTTTTTATTATTTCCATTTAGGATATTCATGGCATGTCAAATATCTGCTGGTGACTAATTGTACTAGTAGGTTCCTGTTGTTTCAATCAGGTTCTGGACATGTGCTGTTCTATATAAAAAAATGAGGCAACGTGACATTTCTATCTAACCCAATACAGATTGACTGTCAGAGATATCATTTATTACTTTCATTGTTGCATCACTCATCTGAAAATAGAGAACTTCTGTACAGCTGTCTATGCCACTGCTGTCTCTCCTTACTCAAAGTAGCTGCCTAAATGGATTTTCCTTTTATCCGATGTTTTTCCATCATGAAATTGGTTCCAATCTTAGCTGCAACTTGTGCTTTTGCCACGATTTCTAACAGTCACTGTTGCATTTTTATGGCTTCTCCTTGTGCTATATAATAGAATAATCGTCTTGCTTTTCTGAATGATACATGTTTAATCTTGAGTCCCTACAGGCATCATGTTCTGTTTCTTTGGTTTTGCAGCCTCGGGAGCATTACGTTGTGGAAATTAACAATGGAGGATGTTGGAAGAAAACCCAAAATGGCAGACATATTCTGCTTGCCGTGTAAGTGGCATTTCTTA